TGTGTCTTATAAGCAATGGTTTTTTCTGTTATTTTCAGTGAGTATTTCAGAGCTTGTTTAACATGAAAGTAACAGTAATCTTATATGCGTTATTAAAGTAATGAATATAGGATAGATGATAATCTCTTAGGAAGTTGGAGCATATTACAATTTCTGTGATTTCAAAGCTCATGGAAATAAATAAGGACATTTAAAGTGATAATTTAAAAGCTCTAATTTTGAGGTAGTGATTTGCTGTAGAGTGGTCAACAGTGTAAACTAAGATGTTAAATTACTTACATTTAAAAGATTATATATGTACTTTAAGCACCTTGTAGAGAAAATGATGTGAAAAACCTAAGAATAAATCTCGGAAAAGCATTTCTACATTAATTAATTTGATTATGTACCATTCACTACTGGTGGGATCCTTGTATCAGATTAAATAACTTTCTGGACTTTTTGCCTTGCATAATATTCAGTGTAAAGAACATCTGACAAAGAAAATAGGGAGAAATCACCTAGCAGTAAATAATGGGACTAACTTCATTATTGACAGTATGTTGCTAGGGGTCTTGTAATCAACAAGTGTATGAACACAAGCAATTTTGTGAATAAGTAATTCAGAAAAAACTTTTTAAATCTAATGGGGACTCCATCTTTTATTCTACAGTTAAAAATCATATGATGTTGGTGGATACTCTCAGAATAACAGCCTAATTTTGATATAAGGAGACTGTGTAGAAAATTCATGCTTATATAAACAATTAGGTTTTCTTCAATTTTCTTTTTTCTTGTATGATATAAAACATTATTTATAAAGACTTGTATGTATACACATACATGAATTTCTGATTTGTGTGTTTCTCATAATTTATTGTTTTTCCATTGAAAGGAAACTGCCTTGGTATTTTTATCTAAACAATGGATTGAAGTGAGTCATTGCCTTAAGCAGCAAATTCAAGAAGTAATCAAGGATTGCAGCAGCTCCATTCGTAAGATAGTTAATGAAGAAAGTTAGCTTTGTGAAGTTCTATCCATGGCACTTCAAAATTACTCGGATATGACCTTATTACAAGAGATGATGAGAGGAGATGATGGTTCTAGCACAATTGGTAGGTTTAACCAGAATACGAAATTATTTTAGCAGTAAGTTTTGTTCATAGCTTTATGAAATAGCAGTTTGAAGTACAAATTATAGTGCAAACATGTAGGTGTCTTAATAAAGATGCAACAAAATGTATTTTGGGTCTACTATCACTTGGTCTATCAGTGTAATATGTAAAGCACTTTTGATTCCATTCTTCAGATTGATAACAAAAATACTTCAAGTTCCTTTTTGGATATCTTATTATGCTCTTTCTTGGAAGCATAAAAAAATTTGATTTTTCTGGTAAGGTTTAACTGTTAAAAAAAAAGACTGCATATGTACATTGTAACAACTGTAGTAACCTTATTGTTCTCAGTATAACATAGAGGGGTGTCAAGTATTATGCCCATTGGCCTTTAATTCTGATTCAAATACTATGGCTACTTTTAAAAACTTATCTTGTAGTTCACAGTTTGGTTAGGCAAAAGTGTGAAGCCTGTGACAAGATGTTGCTGGTGGAGAATGGCCAGAATAGCACAAGTATTTTTAAATATGTGAACAAATCTCTTTCTTTCTTTTTCTTCCTGAGTGGGTTCTCGGGTAAGAGAAGTTCATCTTATTTGAAAAATATTGATGCTTTCTCAAATTTTTTGTGATTTCTTTATGCTACTCATAACAAAAGAGAATTACCTTCAGAAAGACTACTTACCTCTCTGCACCACTAAGAGCTATTTCCTCGCATGCAACTGCCATGGAATTTCCTGCACATGCCACAAGTCTTGAACAAACTTCCACCCCTACACATGTCTGTGTGTATTGTGTCAGCCTATAATGCAGTTGTCACCAATAGAAAGGTAACACAACCTTCATGCATGGTGTAAACCCTGTGAACACTAGCACATAATTATGGGTTCATTTTTTTCCTCAGCACTGCCTATGGTTAGATGTTTTCTTTTTTGTGTTTTTTGAGTTTATTGTCAACTCAATTGACTACCTTTCTTTCTTTAGTGCTACATCTTTTATCCTTGTTGCACTTTCGTTCCATTTTCTTTAGTCCTCACATTTCTACTTGAGGCTTCTTGCAACAATGTATGTCCCTGACATTCCTTTACAGGCATTCTTCCAACTCTTGGGATGGTGACTGGAGGCACTTTATCTATTTATATATTTTACATTCAGTTGTTATCCCCTTAGCTGAGGGAACCAACCACCTGATACATGAAAGTGGGAACATCATCAGAAAACGTTTTGTGCATCATGGTTTATCACACCTCAATAAGTCTGTGGAAGTTACCTACAACATTGAAAATACCTTGAAACAGAGTGAAATTCAAGATCTGTCACATGAAGGAGTGTGCTCTACTAAGTGGTGCCTATTTCTTCTTCAGTTCAGGTCCCTAGTCCTTTTTTTTTTTGCCTTCTATGGAGCCTGCTTTGCTTGTAGATTATTTTTGGCCAGCTTTTCACTTCTGCCTTTATCTCTGGACCTTCTCTTCCTGATAAGGAACAGGTACTTTTTTCTTCTCTGTTTGCAATGCATATGAATCAGATTTGTGATACTCTATCTCTTTTTACCTGTATAATATATCTTTTTGGTTATTTTACTTTGTGTGCTCCTTATGTCCCAACTCCACGTTGTCCCTCATCTTTCTTGTCCTTCCCATCTTTGTGACTTCTTTTCTATAGCCTCAGGTCTTGGCCACTTTATAATGCTTGATCCTCAGTCTCTTGAGTCCTTTCTTTCTGCTTAGGGTTTTCCTTCTGTGTCTTTTCTTTGCATCTATATGTTGATTTTTGTCTATCTTTACCCTATTTCTTTATCTTTACCCTTCATTTTCTCTTTGAGGCTCTTCCTTATGATCCTAGTAGTTTTGGTGGAGACACCTGTTCTTCTTTGTTTGTCACTTTGGTTTCCATTTCTTCATCTCCTATATCTATTTTGGCCTAGTTTCTTTGTTTTGGGGATCTTGTCTGTTGAGTGTCTGCATCCTTCTCTCTTGCATCTGGGGGTGTTTGTAATTCCTAGGATTAGGTTGCTAACCAACAATCTTCTATTGTTTCCTTGATTTTCCAACTCGCTGGCTCACTGTCTGCCATTCATTTTCAGGAGTAATGTCAAGCTACTCCTATCTTGTTCCTCATTCTCTCACTTCTGTTTGTCATCCCTCTTCCACCACAGGTAGTTGGCGAGGCTCTTTTGCAGTGACTCTTCTTTTCAACTGGTCCTGGGCTCTGGTCCCATTTGTGCCTGCCTCTCTTACTTTACCTTCCTGTCTTCTCGTTTCTTCAGCGAATCTGGGGTTCTACACATTCTTTCTCATCATTTCTTGTTTATACCCCACTTTTTCCTTCTGATCATCCTCTTTTCTAACCTCTTCCCACCAATTTTTTGCTTCTTCATCATCATCAGTATATAATGTCCTTTTTGTTGGTGGTAGTAGCTACAGAACCTGTCTCATACCCCCATTCAGAGCTTTTATTCCTTTCTTTTTTTGACATGCCATACAATCAAGGATTTGGCATCCTGTAATCAACTTATCATCTCTAAATCACTTTGTCATTGTTCCTTGATTCTGGTTGAATGACATTCTCAGTCTGCATTGGGTCCTTTCTCCCAGGTTGTGTTTTACCCTATCGCTATGAGTCAAAGGCCATGTAATTGCATTTGTTGACATGCATTCAAAATTTTATTGAACTACTATTTTATGAATTTATGCCTATAAATTTGGTATCAAATTGTAGATTATAATTCACATTTTAGTATTATACTTTAGCTAATTTGTAAATATAAAAAAAACACCTAAATATCGATTTTTGTGTGTCATGTAGGATGTTGAATGCAGAACTGGTTCAAATTACCAATATTGACAAGCTAGAATATAAAATAAGAACCTCTTATCTCTTTTGTTTGCTGAGATCTCACTACATTTTCTGAATCAAACACAGTGGCCCCACTCACCTCTTTCCGTTTTTGGAAACCCTACCCTACGTAAGCCTACTTCTGTCTATGACATATGAATAACCAATTTAAAACTCAGAATATCCCCCTAGTGGCTTTCTCAGCCATTTTGAAGTATTAGGGCATCAATCTTGTTCTTTTGATACAAGATTTCAAGCTGGTTAGGCAAGTCTTCAGTGAGCTCGAAATTTCATATATTTTTAGACCCAAATACAGCTTAATTACTAATCTTGATAAATTATAGTGTAATTCAATGGTATTGATATAGTAACTTATGATTTTGGGTTATTTCAAATGTATATATAAAACCTGGAAAAAATTATTTCGTTTCACATCCTCCATGTGCAAAATTTGATAAGACTTAGCAACCTACGGTAAGCAGCAAACGAGTACAAAGTTGTAACTAGAAGAGATAATTGTTTGCTATACTTCTTTTTTTTACTGTTCTATGTTTTAAGAAAAATAAGTTTTAAGAACTAATTTGTAATTAGTATTAATCTATATGCTCCTGATACTCATCCTTTGTAACTGATATAATGGTTCAGCAATTGTAGCAAAGTTTTGAATGAACTGATTGTACCAGGCACACATACCCAAGAATGTGCTTAACTCTTTGCAGTTTATTGGAGTTGGGAAGTCTTTAACAGCTTTCAGTTTATCATTATTTGTGTCTCGTCCTTCACAAGCAATTTTAAGTCCTAAATATGATACTTCTGGTTGGTAAAGTTTGCTTTTAGGAACTTTTACAGTAAGATTAGCTTGTAGAAAACCCATTCAAGGTCTTTCAAGTATTGTTGAAATGTTGGTGAAAACACTATAATATCATCAATATAAGCCTTAGAAAATTCAGTTGCTCTTGTTAAAGCCTTATCCATAAGTCTTTGGAAGGTTGCAGGTGCATTTTTAAGACCAAAAGGTATTACTTTAAATTGATAAAGTCTATTATCAGTTATGAAGACAGTTTTATGTTGATCCACCATCTTAACAGGTATTTGCCAATATCCACTTGATAAGTCTAATTAATGTACTGATACAGGTTGCCCCTCACAAAGCATTCAAAATATCACATATACGAGGCAATGGATAGCAGTCATATTCCAAGGCTTGATTCAACTTCCTGTACTCTACACAGAACCTAAAACCCAAGGAGTGAAGGGTTAAATTAATCCATCACAGAGCATTTCATCCACGTGATCACGTAGCACTTGTAATTTAGTGGGAAAATAATAAGGTTTACTAAACACTGGCTTTTCACTAATTGTTACAATAGTATGTTCAGGCAAGTCTGTGAGGACAGGTTTATTGTTAAAAATATCTGCATATTTCAATACAACTTGCATTCGTTGTTCAGTCTTTAATCTTATGAATATTTTATTTCTTCAATCAATATCTTTTTAGCCTCAGAGTCATGCCTAACAGATGGCACATTTAATTCAAGAACATTTGTGAAGAAGTTAAGGGTTGCTTCATTTCTCTGAATCAAGTCTAATCCAATATGATAAGATACAGCTAAATCTTTAATGACAATGAAACATTGGTCTACAATGCTGTTTGTTACCAGTAGTTTTGCTTCAAAATATCCTAGCAGTTGACAGATAGTCATTCCATCTGCAAGACACGTGTTACTGTTACTCCAAGTTTTCAATTGAAGAGTTGAATAATTTCTCATGATTTGTTGCCATATATTTTCATTTATTACTGAATAATCTGACCCATTATCAATATGACCTCCTACCTCCACGCCATTGATTTTTAGTGTCAGGTGAGGCAGATCCATTTTGGTTGTAGTTAAATAGTTCATGGAGGTATTTGCTTACACAAGATTCAACAACCTTCTTCTTTGATCCCTTTTTTTCATTTCCTGACTGCTGTTCTTCATTTCCCCTTTTACATGTTTTATTTTTGTGGGAGAATGCTTAGATAAGTTATTTGTTTGATTACAAGTATAACATCGCACAGATCTATTAAGGCGTTCATTTATGTTAATCACTTCAGTAGTAATAGTTTCTCATTTATTATACCAACTCGTATTGTTTAGTAAATTTTAACATATCAGCAATAGATAC